AAAGTTTGAAAACCACTACTCTAGTCAAGGAAACCTTGGTGGCATAATGGTTAAGAGCTACAGCTGCTAACCAGAAGGTCAGCAGTTCATATCCACCAGGTGCTCCTTGGAAACTCTATGGGGCAATTCTACTCTGTCCTATAGGGTCACTATGAGTCAGAATTGACTTCATGGCAATGGGTTTTTTTTTTTTTTTGGTTCTAGACAAAGGAATAGAGAGGAGAAGGGGAAGAGCTTACCAAGCAGAGAAATAGTTTGTGCAGAGAATCCAGGGTGGGAAGGCACTTAGTGCCTTTCAGAACTGAAAGAAGACCAGAGTGGTCAGAGTACGAGTGAGTTGGAGAGTGGCTGGTACAGGATGCAGCTGGTGAGGGACAGAGGAACCAGTTCACACAGGTCCCTAGGCCAGGTTGAGTTTGTGGCTTTATCCTAAAGAAATGGGAAACCACTGAAGATTTCATTTATTAATTTTTACCTTTACTGAAAAAAATTATTTATTCAGCAATACATGCAAGTGGTACCTGTCATGGATTGAACTGTGTTCCCCAAAAATATCTGTCAGCTTGGCTAGGCCATGATTCCCAGTGTTGTGTGATTGTCCACCATCATCTGATGTAATTATCCTACGTGTTGTAAATCCTACGTCTATGATGTTAATGAGGCAGGATGAGAGGCAGTTAGGTTAATGAGGCAAGACTCAATCTACAAGATTAGGTTGTGTCTTAAGCTAATCTCTCTTTTTTTTTTTTATTGTACTTTAGGTGAAGGTTTACAGAACAAATAGTTTCTCATTAAACAGTCAGTACACGTGTTGTTTTATGACATTGGTTAACAACCCCACGACATGTCATCCCTCTCCCTTCTCGACCTTTTTTTTTTTCGGTGAAAATATACATAGCCAAAGATACACCATTTCAAAAATTTCTACATGCACAATTCAGTGACATTGATTACGTTCTTCCAGTTGTGCTGCTATTCTCACTTTAAATGAAGGTTTACAGAACAAAACAGTTTCTCATTAAACATTTAGTACACGTGTTGCCCTATGACAATGGTTAACAACCCCACTACATGTCAACACTGTCCTTACTCAATCTTGGGTTCCCTATCACCAGCTTTCCTGTTCCCTTCTGCCTTCTAGTCCTTGTCCCTGGACTGCTGTGCCTCATTAGTTCCATTTTGTTTTATGGGGCTGTCCAATTCCCATAAGCCAATCTCTTCTGAGATATAAAAGAGAGAGGTGAGCAGAGAGATGGGGGGACCTCATACTATCAAGACACAAGAGCCAGGAGAATAGTGCATCCTTTGGAGTCTGGGTCCCTGCGCTGCAAACCTCCTCATCCGGGGAAGATTAATGACAAAGACATTTCCCTAGAGCCGACAGAGAGAGAGAAAGCCTTCCCCTGGAGCTGGCACCCTGAATTTGGACTTCCAGCCTACTAGACTGTGAGAAAATAAATTTCTCTTTGTTAAAGCCATTCACTTGTGGTATTTCTATTATAGCAAGCCGAAACTAAAACCCGCTGCTGTCAAGTCTATTCCGACCCTATAGGACAGATTAGAACTGCCCAGTAGTGTTTCCAAGGAGCAGCTAGTGGATTTGAACTGCCAACCTTTTGGTTAGCAGCCGAGCTCTTAACCACTACAACACCAGGGCTCCTCAGCCAAAGATTAGACAGGCCCATAAAACAAAAAGAGAAAAAATAGGCACACTAACCCAGTGGCAAAGATGAGAAGGCATAAGGGGACAGGAAAGTTGATAATGGGGAACCCAAGGTCGGAAAGGGGGGAGTGTTGGCACTTCGTGAGGTTGGCAACCAATATCACAAAACAATATGTGTATTAATTGTTTAAGGAGAAACTAATTTGCTCTGTAAACCTTCATCTAAAGTGCATAAAAACAAAAAAACAAAACTCACTGCCCCCTATAGTGCCTATCTAATCTTCCCAGTTGTTGTCAGTTTGATACCATATACATAGTTCTTAAAAGAGCATAATGTTCATGGCAGACATTTTTCACTAGTTAAGCTACACTATTGTTCAGTTTTAAGATGACTTCAGAGGATATGTTTAGTTTAACATTTAAAGATTATTTTAGAGCAACAGTTTCACCCTCCATGGCTCCAGAAAGTTTAGAGTCCATGAGAATTTGAAATTCTGTTCTGCATTTTCCTGGTCTGGGATTTTTTGGGTATGCAAGTTCCTTTTTCTCTTTTCCTGTTTTTTTGAACACATGGGAGCAATGTAGCACTTACATTTTTCATCAACAATCCCTCTTGGAGATCATTCCACATCAGTACTTAAAGACCTTCTCATTTTTTAAAAAGACTGCATCATATTCAGAGCCCTGGTGGCACAATGGTTAAGAGCTGGGCTGCAAATAGAAAGTTTGGCACTTTAAAACCACCAGCCACTCCTTGGAAATCCTATAGGGTCGTTATGAGTCAGAATTGACTCCATGGCAAAGGATTTTGGGCATCACATTCTATGGTATGGATCCACCATAATTTATTTAGCTAGCAGTGGTGTCACTAGGGTTGGTATCACCCAGTGAGGTAACTCATGGTGTCACATTGTCCACCTGTGGGTGGGGTGGAGTGGCCCTCCCTGCCCAACCCCCCACACAGGGCCAAGAGCTGCACTGTGCTGCCCACCCCCCTAGCCCCACCTCCCAGTGCTCCCCCAGCTCCTCCCCTCTCCCACTGGCCAAAGCAGAGACCCTCCTCTCTGCCCAATGGTGGACACCCGCGACTGGCAGGGAGGGGGAGAGGTGGGGATGGGGAGGTGGGGATGACGAGTTACCTCACTGGGTGACTGATGGCACCAACCCTAGTGATGCCACTGCCTTGGCGGCCCCTCCTCTGGCAGCACTTGCCCACCCACAGCAGCCGGCAAACCCTGGGGTCATTTTGGTGGTGCCCTCTCTGACAGTGTCACCCCCACTATGCCACCACTTTTAACTACTCCCCTCTTAAGGAGCCCTGGTGGGGCAATGGTTAAGTGTTTGGCTGCTAACTGAAAGTGAGTTGGCTATTCAAACTCACCCAGCAGCTCCAGGAAGAAAGACCTGGGGATCTGCTTCCATAAAGATTACAGCCTAGAGAACTCTATGGGGTAGTTCTACTCTGTCCCATGGGGTGGCCATGAGTAGAAATTGACTTGACAGCACCTAAAAACAACAGTCCCCTCTTGATTTAGGTTATTTCTAATCTATGGCCACTACAAACAATGCCGCAATGAAAGTACTTGTTGATATGTCATCTCACAAGCGGAAAAAAACATTTGTAATGTAAATTCCTGGAACTAGGAATGCTGGGGTTGTAACCAACAGGGTTAAACCACTCCCCCTCCATCCATCATACTCTGGGTCTGTGGTCAACTAGCTCCTGATAAGGCATCCTGTGCAGCAGTCCAAGGCCACTTCACTGCTCCCCCTCCATTTGGACATGCCCAATAAGCCAAAAAGCTGTCCTTAGATCAACTTCATGCATCAAACCACAAAAAAGTCATCCCCTAGCCACCATGACACTGCACCCCTACTGCATCCCCACACATGTTAATTAGTTCCTGGAATTGCCCGCCTATTCTCAGAAGCGTCATGAATTATGCATAACCACCTTATCCTGAATCCTATAACTACCCTGGAATCCCCAGTCTCGAGGAGCTTGATTTGAGACTTAGTCTCTGAGCTCCTTGCCTGACAAGCTTGCAATAAAGACCACTTTCTCTTCCTCAAAGGCCTGGTGTCTCTCAATTGACTCGAGGGATCACACCGGGTGAAACCCACCCTCCTCAGTCACAAGGTCAATGGTATGTGCGTATCATATTTGACATATATTGCCACATGGCTGCCATAGAGGTTGTGTCAATTTACATTCTGGCAGCAATGTGTCAGTTTTGAAGGGTTTTCACAGGGAAATGACAAGATCACACTTACATCTTTAAATAGTCACTCAGGCTACTGTGAGAAGGAGGGCTTGCAGGAAGGCAGAATGGAGAGGCCAGGAGACCAGTGAGGAAGCAGGAGCTGTAGTCCAGGCAAAGAATGATGATGGCACCTTGGATTGGAATGGTGGCAGTGGGGCAGAGTAACCTGGATAGATTTTGGAGCTATTTAGAAAGTAGGGTCCAACAAAACAAAACAAAAACCTGTTGCCATTGAGTCAATTCTAGCAACCCCATGTGTTACAGAGTAGAGCTGCTCCATAGGGTTTTCTTGACTGTTATCTTTACAGAAGCAGATTGCCAGACCTTGCTTCCATAGTGCCACTGGGTAGGTTCGAACTGCCAACATTTAGGTTAGTAGACAGGCATATACAGTTTGCATGACCCAGGGACCTTAAGGTTCACAGGAACTAGTAAATAAATGTATAGAAAGGGTTGGATGAAGAAGGAGTCAAGGATTACACTCAATTTATTTGGCTTGATCAACTTGGTGGATGGTGAAGCCCACCCTGAGTGGGAAACTTGAAGCAGAAGTAGGTTTAGAGAGTAGCAGTGTGCAGATGGTTAAGTTTAGTTTGGGACGTTTAGTTGGGTTTGTTATGTCTGATGAACATCCAAGTGGAAATGTCCAGTGGGCAGTTGATACACATGTTTAGAGATCATGAGAGATCTGGACTAGAGACAAACATTTGAGGGTTTGCCGGAGACTGAGGTCCAGAGGAAAAGAGTGTGTCCATGGTGACTCTGGGTGTTCCAAGCAACCTCCTCCCAGCCCAGGTCCCTTCTGCCACATGGGTTCATCTATAAGGCCTCTGGTGCAGGTGACCCTGGAGGCATCCACTGGACAATTGCCCTTGGAGCTCTACATCAGGGAGCCATTTTGGGGCTCACCATAGCTGCTCTCATATGCCCTCCCCATCTGCCTCCCATTACTTTCCCTGAAGTTCAGGCCCAATGGCACTATCATTGCCGCAATCTTTTTCTTGTCACCCAACAGTGGTAGTGACGCTCTGGGCTCTAGCCTGGCTCTGCTGAACTTTTTCCCTTGACTTTGGCATTTTCGCTTTGACTTGTTCCCCAAGAGCCAGGGGGTGGGGACCCCAGCTCCAGATGGTGACGTGGGGGGCCGGCCTAGGCCTGGGGTGTATTTTTCTCACTATCCAGCTTCCTGTTTCTCTTCATTTGAGCACATCTCTGCAGAAGTAACAAAGCCCTCTCTCCACTGGGCTCCAAACCCTCACATAGAAACACCTGTGCAAGAAGCAGAGGGGAAGGAAGACGCAGACCTAGAGGTAAGATGGACGGACCCAATTTCTTTTCTTGCCCCAGGGCTGAGAAGGAGTGGGGAACATGGCGCAGATGCATTGAAATGTGCTGGATTCCCAGTTCTCTGCCCACAGCTCTGGCCATTATCTCATTTCTCCCAGGACTGGTCATGTAGCAGCCCTTCCATTGGAACTGTGAGCTTCAAGAGGGCAAGGGCCCCTCTCTGCATCCCTCACAGCGCGCCGCTCAGTGTCCAAACAAGTAGGTGCTCACCAAGGAGAGCTGACTGGAATTCAAGGGAGAGCAGAAATGGGGTGCTTGAGGCTGACCCAGGCTGAGAAACGCAGGGGGAGGCAACCAGCCATAAGGCAGTGGAGGAGATAAAGAATGGGAGAGGAGAAAAGAGAAAAAGAAGAAAGAAGGGGTTGGGAAAGAGAAAGAATAGGTAAATATTAAGGAGCGAGGAGGCCTATGAAAAAGAAATGAAGAGAAGACAGGAGACTAAGGCAAAAGCAAGAAAAAGAGAACCTAGTCTAAAACTTCTCGAGGCAATTTGTCGAAATCAATTTGCCCAATGATACAATCACCAAAACTTCACACTAAAAATCGTACTTATCATACCTGCAGCATTCATAAGCCCCAGGATGGATGTAGTCTCTTTCAATGAACTCTGTTACGTGTTTTTAAGTTTTTGTCTACTTTTGGGCATTTTGGGGATTTTTATACAAATTGTCTAAAGGCACTTCTGCTTTAATTAGTTTTAAAATGATTGGTGAAATGGGAAAGCTAAATTGCTCAAAAAGAGTTGAAACTGAGCTCTTGTCTATGAAATGCTGTAAAAGTGATAGATAAATCTTTTTAGGTAAATATGTCATTAGACAAATCAGTTCTAGGAGAATTGGTTTTAGATGACTCAACCTGCTCTGGAAGAGGGGGCCACTGGAATTTGAAAAGGATTTGCAGGCCCTCCTTGTGCTTGGTGAGGTGTGGGGGGAAGCAGGACTCCATGTCCCTCAGGACTGATGCTGTGTAGAACTCCAACCTCCCACCTCCACCCTCAGCCCTTTCACCTGTCCTAAGATTTCCATGGCCTTAGAGCCCTGCTGTTCCCAGGTGTCCTCTGCCTTCCCTTCATAGTCTAGTCTGGGAGAGGGGCCTTCTGAGGGAGTCTGATATCTCTAAATAGAAAGGCCCCATTCTCGCTAATTCAGGGATCTCACTGTAGGTAGGAATGCTCTTCCTGAATATCCTGCCCTTGTGGCGCAAATTTTCAGAGGCTCAAGGCTGAGAGTAAAATCTTATTTCACAAATAATTTCCGCATGAGATTCTGTAGACTCATGCAAAATGGCCGCCCTCTTAACCTCAGACGACGGAGCTCCCAGAGGTCAGAGTTAGAGATACTCAGGAGATGATTCCACTCTTTCAATTTGCAGGACTTATGTAGAAGAGTTCTACCTCTAAATAAAAGCTACCCACCAGAGTTGTTGTTTAGGGGGGCACTGAGTTTATGTTAATGGTGGTGGAATAACTTGGAAAAGGATGGTGATAATGGTTGTACAACACAAAGAATGTAATCAATGTCACTAAATTATACGCGTAGAAATTGTTGAATCGACAAATGTTTGGTTGTGTTTATTTTCACCTTGAAAAATTTCCCCCACCAATTGGTTGTCAGCAGAGAGCTCACAGCAGTGCTAGGCTCTGACCTTGGCCATAATGTTGAGGTGGCACTAAGGGGAATTGGATAGACCCAGGGTCGGGCATATTTTGACACTCAATAAATGTTTGTTGAATGAAATGACGGTGATGAGGGAGGAGCAGCAGATACCTGAGTGCTGGGAAGGGGTAGTTGCGGTCTAGGTTTCTAAGACGCTAAGGTTGAACTCTGTTCTGTACCTTTTGGGGGATAGGGGAAGTAGGGAGGGCACAGCTCCCCCCATGTGGGCGTCTGATGCAAAGGAGAGGATGGTGGAGGTTGTAGCCACCGAACCACAAGAGTCCTCTTAGAGGGATAGTGGTCTCTAGGAAGACTACAGTGTCTAGGAAGTTTAAATGAAGCCCGTAAGCAGTAGACAAGGTGTGTGTGCGTGTGCGAGTGTGTGTGTGTGTGTGTGTGTGGCTGGGCTTGAAGGGGCTGGTGGGAGCTATGGGAAGAAGATAAAAGTGTATGTGGGACCACAGACTGTCACTGTGGTGGGGCTGTGCCCTCTTCCTCTCCTCAACCTCACTCCTCATCCCATCCCCAGGGGTCCAGGTGAGGAGAGCAGGAACCTCAAGGGCTGGGAGAGTGTGTGGTTGTATGTTGTCATTTTGGTCTCATCTCTTTCTTGGTCTCTCTTTGTCTCTCTTTTGATCTCCTGCTCTGTGCATGTGTCTTGCCTCTCAGAATTTCTTCATTTCTCTCCCTCTGCCTCCACCTTTTTGTACTGCTCAGAGTTTTGTGTGTTTGTGGGTAGTGTGAAGTGTAGTTGTTGCTTTAATGAGTTCCTCTGGGTCTTTCCCTGCCTCCCTCCTTCCTTCTCATCCTCCCTTGAGACCTCTGTGTGTTTCTTGGGGAATCTGTCCTTTTCCCTTTGTTCACCCATGTCTTTCCACCCCTTGGCCAGCTCCTTTGCTTTCACCCCTGTCTCCAGGACGTGCTCTGGGGACCTCTCTGTTCTGCAGCTGGAAGGCTCCCTTCAGATAAAAAAACAAACTCAAACCTGTTGCCGTCAGGTCGATTCCGACTCACAGCGACCTTATAGGACAAAGTAGAAATGCACAAGGTTTCCAAGGAGCGGCTAGTGGATTCAAACGGTCCACTTTTTGGTTAGCAGCGGAGCTCTTAACCACTACGTCTCGATCAAGGCTTGTCGGAAGCCTACCTTCCTGCCAGAGGCCAGGATGCCTGTTTATAGGCAAGAAGGGACTAGAGCTTAGTGGCAGCTGGAGAGGGGAAAGATGAAAAGTGAGAAGAGGCAAACAGGCAAACAAGAACAGGAGGGCCAGAATCAACTCTCGGCCCCATGAGGCACAGAGGGAGAGAGGCACAGACACACGACGAATCTGACGACGGAGGCATCAGCCTGGGGAGGCGCAGAAACAGAAACGCACAGATGTGAGCTGGGAAACAAGCAGAGACAGAGGGGCACCAGGCCTGCGGGGGACCAGCAAGCCCTCCCAGCCTCTCTCCCGGGGCTGTGGTACACAGGATGCTACTACGCTAAGGGCGGAGCGCGTCAGCGGCGGCTGAGGATGTGGGAATCAAAGGGCAGCTCTCTGGGGCGGCAAAGCGGAAGCCCAAGGCACGGAAGCAAGCAGTGGGTTTCTCTGGAAACCCACAGCCCTCGCCACTGAGCTGAACCCTGGGGCAGATTGGGGCGGTGCGGGGAGCCGGAGGCAGGAGGTGGGCCTCTACACAGACGCCAGGATCAGGAGAGCAGAGTGGGGAAGGAAAAAATGGCCACCGTGGGAAGTGGGGAGGGAAGGGTCAAGAATTTCCCTAGCCTTCCTCAGGCACCTTACCAGTGTAAGCTAAATTTAAACCCAAGGAAAGAGATACCCCATATGGAGGCTTTGTCACTTTTCCACCCCCTGCTCACCAAGGACCCAGTGAGTCTGGGATGGGGGACAGTGGAACTATTATCAGGTTTAAGGCTATCCCTACCCCACCCTTCTCACCTCCCTAATGCCTCCCATTCCCCATACCAACTTGTAAACGACTTCACCCCAGTGACTGACTAGCCTCCTTCCCTCTTTTCCGGAAACCTCCTTCTTGTCCTTCCATTTCGACTCATGGTGACCCTATAGGACAGAGTAGAAACTGCCCACAGGGTTTCCAGGGCTATAAATCTTTATGGAAGCTGACTGCTACATTTTTCTCCTCAGGAGTGACTGGTAGGTTCCAGTCGTGACGTTTCAGTTCACAGCCCGGTGCTTTAACCACTGCGCCAACAGGGCTCCTTTCCTCTCCTCTTCTCTTCTTATTAACCTGGTTAAGAAAAAAAAAAAAAAGTATGTATACATATCTATATAGATAGGCATATCTATATAGATATATAGAGATATTGATATATATATCAAGCACCTACTATGTGTTAGGCCAGGGGTGATTCCTCTTCCAAGCAGAAGGAGTGACTGGAAGGGGCCTTTCCTGTCTTCCTCCAAACCTTTTCAGGAAACCCAGGCCCCCAGCACCTCCTCTGAGTGCTACAGCCTTCTTGTGGATTGTGTGTCAGAGCCTGACAGGACCCAGAATTCAGCTCAGGTAGTTCAAGAGCCTATAGAGGTAGAATTATTTGCAGAGGTGAGGACAGGGTTAAGGGAAACAACAAACATGTTAAGGCTCCCAAATACTAGTAATAGCAGGAAGGGTCCTGAAGGGGCAAGGGATGGAAAGGGTGTTTCCAGACCCCAGTAAGGACTTGAGCTGTCAATGATGGATCACCCAACAGGAGTTGTAGTGTAAGGGGACACAGCCATTGCCAGAAAACAAGCCCCAGTGTTCTCTTCCCCATCCCTGCCATCTCTTGCAGGCACTTTCCATTAGCCAAACTCAACTGATAGCTGGAGGGCAATGCAACATGTGGCAGTCAGCCTCCTTGGTAGAGAGCAGGGCAGGGAAGGGTGGAGAAAAAAATGACGAGCTCTTACGAGGATAAGCAGCATTGATTGGGTCACACTTAAATGACCCATTCTAGTGTCAGAATTAATGTGAAGCATAGAAAGAGGAATCAGTGATTTCCCCTTGTATTTGTTGCCTAGGGCTGCTGTAACAAAATACCACACGATGGGTGGCTTATAAGAACAGAAATTTATTGTCTCACAATTCTGGAGACTAGAAGTCTGATTCAGGGTGTTGGTAGGGCCATGTTCTCTCTGAAGGCTTTGGATGAAGATCGTTGCTTGTCTCTCAGCTTCTGGTAGCCTCAGGTGTTCTTTAGCATGTAGATTCATTTTTACATGACAGTCTTTCATCTGTCTCTCTATCTGTCCTCTTTTATAAGGAGTCACTCAGACTGGATTAGGACCCACCATACTCTGTTA